GTAAACAATATTTCTTTGATCGAAGTCTCAGATCCAAAAATAAAAAAATATACACTTTAACAAAACATAAGAATGAAGTTATGATTACCGATTTTCGATTTGAAATTAATTAGATAATGGTTACAACGATAATTTCGTATATGAACATGATTACAACAACTAGAATGATATCTCCCATTTATTACTCTTGAATCACCTATTTCATCCTTTAGTGCTTTATCGATGTTGAAAAAACAAAGAATTTCGTTTCACTTTTCAATAGGTGATGCTTATTAATTCTCGATTCACTTGATCTTCAACTGGCATAATAGAGATATACATATTGATGTATTTATATATCGCGTGCAATAAGTAAAGTATTAGATGACTTGACAGATAACAACGATTCATTTAAAAAAAAAACAATTTTTCATAAAAATCAAACTTAATTTTTATATTTATAAAGAAAAATCAATTTTGAATATGCTACGTTTGACTAATAATGTTCAGTCTATATGTGCCATGTGATTAGTTTATCAACAGAAATTTTGTCAAATTGTTGCAATGTTGTTACTATATTCGTTTTTGGTCTTTAATACTGTTCTCAAAACTTTACTTTTAATCTCAAATGATCATTGCGTACAGTGATTAAAACGGTTTTTTATTTTTATCAGAGATTTATATACAGGATGACCGATAAGTCACCGTACAGTCTTTTATTTCGGATAACTTTTGCTGCAAAAACCAGCATCAGCGATATGCCACAACAAAAAACAATAGTTTTTCACTGCTTGCGTTTCTACTTGCACATCTGGTAAGTGTAAAAAGTATGTTCGAAAATTAAATAGTGTGTTTTATACATTAGTCTTCAGATTACAAAGTCTCTATGCAAAGTTTTTTCTGAACATGCTTAAATTTTACAGAAAATTGAGTTTATTCATTGTTAGAGAAGTGAGTGAGTATGAAAATAGAAACGAACTACTCTCTTGTAACTAAATGAAAAGCTCAAAAGTCAATTTTAAATGGTACAAATGCTTCTTGCGTCTCGTGAGATAATAGAAAAACAAAAGATCCCTTTCGGGGACAAGAGCACACGTCTGGAAAACCGATTTGAAGAAAGTAATTCTCTGGAATTCGATCTCGATCAAAATTTCATTATAAATATAGTTTATGATGAAAAACTTATTCTGAAATTCTTTAACTTTCCCATCATAAGGTTAGAGAGTTGTTCACTAGTTGCATTTTGGAATAGAGCTTATAAATAATCGAAGTCACATGGAACACGATTACGTCCCGTTTTTGCTGATTTGGCTCATATATAAACTCAATGTCTTTTATGAAAAACAATATGGATTTACTGATGTTGTATTTATTATGATATATTTAATTGTCTCTAAAGATCACATAAGACGAGTCAATGCAAACAAAGTATTGAGCTATACAATTGAAATATTTATTTTCATTAAATTGTTTAATTGCAATAAAAACAATACAAATCACATCAATTTGATTTTGACAAATATGGATCTAAATCTTTTCATAGAATTTTTTGTTAGATTTTTTTGTCGAAAAACGTTTTATTTGTAACATCTCGATACATATCAAACAAGTAAAAATTTTCAATTGTTGAAAGTTATCAAAACAAATCAATAAACATTCTATAAACTTGGCAAGTAATCAAAAGATTTTGATAATATTTAACTTATGTCATTATTGTAACGTTCTAAAAATATAGATAATCGATCTCGATTGTTGAGTAACACGTCGTTTTTTTACTGAATTAAAAAATTTCTTTTTGTTTATAGAAATAAATCGATAACACTTCTATATTTTCTTTCTCTTATTAATACAAAAAGTTGGCATATTGATTTTTCTTTGTTTCTTTTTTTTTATTAACAGTTTTCAAGTGAGACTTCATTATTAATAAATATCATTCTTTTCAAACTTTTTTGTTTTTTTCTATAGAAAGCATATTGACCTTAAGAGAAATATTTCTAATAACAAATAAAGTATCTTCATCATAAAAATAACAATAACAGAAAAATAATCATTTATTGTTTTTTTTTGTTTGAGTACATGTGTGCAAATCAAGGACAAATATACTTTTTCTTTTTTATGCTTACCAATCGATTACACGACTGATTCTTTGTCCTTGTTTACGAATATACATGTATTTCTCGCTTTTTCGCAGTTGGTTATTATTTTGAAAGAAATGTTTAAAAAAAAAAGCGATGACAGATGTTATCATTTTTTTCATGATTATTTATAATGAAAAGATGTATAAAAGTAAATAGAAAAGAAAATATTTCAATCATTTCATTTTCTAAATAACATGATTTCAAATCGTATAAATAAACTTGTTTCTATATAATAGTTTTAAGCAATGTTGAAGAACATATGTGTAACATCAGCATTTCGTAAAAGAAAAATCAATGATATATACATAATATAGGATCTCATGTGATGTAGAATAAGATAAAACAACATAAGATGTACAATGAAAGAGATTTGTGACACTTGACTTTCGTAATAGAATGATACAGTTTTGATTTTGATGAGTTTTTTTTTATGAAGATTAATCATATTAAATAATGAGTGGAAAAGAAACATAATCATATCTGATATATATATATATATAATCTTCGAACATTGTAATCATATTAAAAGAACTATCTAGCAGTTAGTGTTTTATCCAGTTTTTTTTCTTCGGAGGGACGATTCGAAATTTCGGGAGGGCAAGCTATATACTTCGTCGCGCGATGATCGCAAGTCTCGAGGGGACGAACTCGATTTTCGGGGGGGGGGGGGGGGAGGAGTGCCGTCCCCTCGGGCATCCTTCTAGATAAAACACTGCTACCAGTAAGTTTATATTTCTTGTTTTTTCCAGTTAAATGTATATTAAAAAAAAAGAAGAGTGGTAATACGTGTAATCTTTTTTTGAATATCTATTCAATGAGAAAGTTATGAAATGATAGCATATAGAAAATATTTCTACAGGTATTCCAAGAATGAGATACATATATTAATATTAATAATAATTATTTAATTATAATACATATATATTTCTCGTAGATGTTTTTTCTTTCGAAAAAATATTTTCTTATATAATCCAATGTATCATATGCTTGAGACTATTTCAAATCACTGCTTTAAATTGAACCTAATATCGATTGCTGTAATAATTATTGACTTCAATATTTATAATTTCTATATCAAAATATCATTATCTCTTTATATCGTAATTTACATTCTTACTCATATTTAAACACGTAACAAAAGGTGTTCTTATTCGTTGATATTATACTAATTGAATTCGTCTTTATTAAATTAATAATTCGTTTATTTGATGCATCTGCAATCTTGTATTACTGAATATATGTACTTCAAAGAAGTATTATATATTATGTATTTTCTTTTCGCACAAGTATTCAGTTGACATTAATATCTGACTGATAACAATATATTCCATTTCATAAGGAATTTTCAATATTTTCATTTGAGATAGTGTATATCTTATGTTCATATTCTTGAAAATATATAAATCTTTACAAGCGATAAAGATGAATCTATGAAAAACGGTAATTCTTCTTTGAATTCATTCATGTTATTGGATGAACTTTTATATTGAGTGAAAAAAGAATTATCTAAAAGTATGAAGCTTATTGAGTTTATAAATTCATGAAATTACTTGAATTAATATATGAGATAAGATTGCAGTTATGTATATAGTAGATGAAAATATTCTTTTACTATTAACATTTACTGATGATGATAAACATGTTCCGATGTGTAATTCTAAATTATCTAATTTAATGAATTAAATTATTGGTAAAATGAACTAAAATTTCATCTGCATCTAATGAACAATTTTCTATTCAATTTAGAAATAAACACACTAGCATCTCTTGTTTAACCAACAGAAATTGGTGGGCATGCAAATAGTAAATCTAAATGAATCTACTTTATACTAATATACTTCTTTTTTCCTTTAGAAACATCAGATGTCGATTATTTAAGTCAAAGTAGACATTCAAATAAATAGTGATCAATCAAATTTATATGTTTAAGATTTGACAACTTGAAATACTACTGAAGCCGTTCTAGTTTCATTGTCTTCAACAATTCAAAGTTCGTTAGACAACATATTTAACTCATGAGTA